CTTATATATCTTCAACAGGAAATTTAAAAAATTCTCCATTATTAAAAAAAAAAAAAAAATTAACTAGGTTTTCTCCTTTCTTAATCTTATTAACGATCTGGCTACCGTTATCATATATGAATTGCCTATACCAATTAAACTTCAAATATGCAATTCAATTTGCGTACTTGCTTTCGTATTATTTATGTCGGTTGCTAGGAATCCTATCTGTAAGAACAGAAACGCAATTGGCAGTTCGATTTCCCTTATAGTGAAGCTAGTAAAACAATGGAGAAAATAAAGTTTGAACATTATGGGATGTGATGTGAGAGTCAAAAGCGGTGTGCTTGTGTTCACTACTCTTTTTAATTTGATGTCTCCCAATCTTCCAGAAATGGGACACAAGAAGAAGAAATTAATGCACTTATATGAATGATCATGTTTCTTTATGTTGGTATATTATGTATATGAATTGGTTCGGATAATATTTTACATGCTATTAACGTGCTATTAACATTCAAGCAGATATGATAATATGAACATGATCGATCATCGTAATGTGAAATGAATCATTGATGAATTATTGATTGAAAAGTACTAAAAGTTTTATTAGACTTCTGTGGATTCAAATTGTATTTTAGTATGGAATCTTGATATTTAAAAGAAGGTCTTTATTGGGTGTTATATAGTCATTCTTTTGTACGTTCATTAGCTAGAGAATTAATGAAATCATAATCCAAGTGTATGACAGAGATAAAGAGGATGAAAAATATTGTTATTTAGTCTTGCCTCGATTGTGCAAGGGATGGATATTGTATTAATCAGATATGGTCATTGGAGTTCATTTATAATAATTGATGCAATATTTTCATTTTACATGTACAGACGAAATAAGAGACTTTTGTTTATGAAATTTGAGCATATAGTGTGTATCAGATTCTGTCAAAGCAAAAAGCTTTTAAAATTTTTGCGTTATCTTTAGTCTATGAAAGTATGAAACTCAATTTCCAACACCTAATTGGGCAATAAATTCAAACTTTAGGAATAGGTCACGGGCAAACAAAAGCGTCACGAAAAGTAGTATGTACACAAATTGAAATGTGAAAAAAAAAATATTCTTTACAAGGGTCCTCTCTCGTTGAAAATGTGTAGAAGAATCTTTTAAAACATTTATAATGCCAAATTGACAAAACTGTATGATTAAAATGCTTATAATATAAACGATTGTCAAGAGTTTATACGTAAATTATCATCTATTCGTCAGTTTATTATCAAATGTGTGAAGGCAATTTGAAGATGAGACGTATACACTGACAAATTTTGAATGAATTTTCAATAAGAGTATACGACTTTTTCGCACTTAAATAATGGTTTAATGATATTTTTTTATTTATTAATTTTTAAAATACTATTTTATTATTCAAATTTATATTTTATTTTTTATTCTAGTATTGTTATGATCCTACACCACTATTCTCTTTCCCGATCATCACACACCAAAACCTCTTAAACCCTACTTCTGTCTACTTTGCCAATCGCCGATAGTTAAACAATTAGGGTGTGCACAGCCGTCACTCTCAAGTCAAATTCTAATTAATTTCAACCATCAAAATCTAACATTCCTCTACCAAAAGACTCATCAGCCTCCTTTCTTCAAAAGCCTTAACAACATTGACCAAGTTTGTTTTTTATCCACCGTTGGAATATAAATAAAATGATATTTTAAAAGTTTGTATATGGAAAAGTATTATTAAGTCATTATTTGCTTGAAAAAAAATCGTTAACTCTTTTAGTAATGTGAAATATATTAGCCAATTTTATATAAAGCATATGGTATTATCATAAATAACAATACATGAACTATAATTAATATGAAAGACGATATTTGTGATAATGTTATTGATACGGTATCATAATTAAATGTCGTGTGTATATATATAGTAAGGTGTCTTTGTTAAATTTAAGTATTGGGAAGTCTAAGAAAAGCAATATGGGTAATACTGATGATAGCATAATGAGGATTAGCATAAGCAATTAAGGTCCCAGCCAGTAGAATTGGCTGGTGACCAGTCCCTCAAGTTTCAGTCATATCTCCTTAATAGGGTCGCAATACAGATCGCTTCTTTGCTTTAAATAATAATAATAGTTAATTAATAATTAATTATTGTCAAATGTTAATAAACTTTTACGTCTTTGTATTGCCTTGATCACCATTGTATACAAAATTTGCTGCTCAAAATATTACAATAACATAATTTTAAATCGCAACATTTTGCTCAAGCAGAGACGTATATATACATGGTACTATATAGAGGATAAACAAACTTTTTAACCCTACCTTTGAATTGGATGAAGACAAATTTTTACGATCAATACAGAACTAAAAACCAAAAAGACATTTTCAAAGTAAAAAAATTAGAGTAATTTACAGCCATTTTCAGATTCATCATTATTAAACGCTATCTATTCAGGTTAATTAATATTCTCCTGTATGGCTATGAGTGCATGAGACTATATAGCTTGGAGCTCCAAAAATTTTCATATCACTTTAAATATCATTATATCATCTATATAGCAATGTATTTCTAATAAATTACAAATTAAAAAAATATCTAATTTTAATTTTAATGTCATTTATATGTTCTGCGTCATATCATATATAATAAGGACTCTTAGATTTAGGTATTAATTTCGAATTCTTAATTAATAATTTTTAAAGTCAAATGATTTCTAAAAAGAAATTCAAGCATTCTTAATATTTCTTATTACTCTATTCCTGTATGTATATAACTCACATTCTAAGTCTAAGAAATACATATAAAAATGTATAATTAAGTAGTGTATAGTCAGGGCCGTCTCAAGAACATTTGTGATCCTAAGCAAGTGTTACTTTGATGCCTTCTAAAAATATAAGCATGTATTAAAAAAATTATTTCAAAATTATTTTTTTTTGCTTTTGAAATGCAAAATCACTAGAAGAGGTGGATGGCGAGCTAACAGGGTCAGGTTGGTGGGAGGTTTTGAAGAGTATATGTTGGAGAAGCAATGAGTGGTGAAATTGGTGATTTCCAATGCCAGGATTGGCCGGAAAAGGCTTGAGAAGTCACAGCCCAAAAGGTATCGGTGTCCGGCAATTGACGGAGTAAACAAATGAGGTATGATAGCGGTTTTGGTGAAAGCGTTGAGAGGAGGAAGATGGTGGTGTCCAGGAAGGCCAACAACACCAAGTACATGCCGAAAATGCCAGAAATGGCTGTCATGTGCTATAGAGTTGGGTTGTGAGATTCGTAAAAAATTAGCCAAATCGAAGGCTATCAAGGTTAGGAAAACACTTGGGAAATGATAAAGTGATGATTTCGGTTGATTTTGGCGAGAAAATTGACCGAAATCAACTCCAAATGACTAACGGCGGAAGAGAGGTGGAGATAATTTATGTGAATGCCAAATTTTGGGATGGAATTGGGGGTGGGTAATTTACTAATTTGAGACACGTAAATGACTATTTTAGCCTTTCATTGTTAAAAGAAATTCAATTTGTTAATTTAAGGGTCTGAATTAGAATATATGAAATTAGAGGTACAAATTTACTATTTTGTCAAACTTTGGGTGGGAATATATGTAAAAGATTTATAATAAATTTGGTGGGGGGCCCTTAGGCCTAGATAAAAAATTATACAGAGTTTTTATTTTTGTAATATATTCAAAAAAAAATTTATAAAAAATTTGGACCCCTATTTTTGGGGGGCCCTAGGCAGGTGTCTCACATGCCTACCCCTTGAGTCGGCCCTGTGTATAGTATAGGTATTATATAATTATTAAAAGAGTAAACGACTTTTTCCCACCCAAAGTTAATATTCTGTTACTATCCAAAATACATTTCACTTTCTCAGCCAGCATTTAGCGAGTTATCAAAAGCCAAGATAAAAGAGGTTTTATAGAATGAAGGTCGATGGATCGAATGATGATGACCGATTGAATATTCGTCGTTGGAATCAGCCAAAAATCAGCTAAGGACAAAAAGCCTTAGTTTTGCAGTGATCGGCAATCAGAGAGAAATGAAATGTCAGAGCGAGAAAAGTTTTGTAAAGAGGAGACTGAAGGTTCAAATGGTGGTGACTAAGAGAATTTTCACCTTCGGAAACAACTTTGGATAGTAACGGAATGTAAACTTTTAGGTGAGAAAGTGATATTTTGAAACTTTTTTAGTGGACAAATATCATTAAGGCAAACCTTGGTTAGAAAAACATCGATTACTCTTATTAAGAAGCAGAAGAGATTGGAGCATGGTTTTGGTTGGAGTAGAAACCGACGAACAATTTTGCTTAGCAAATAAGACTTTTTTTATGAGTAATGTTACATTTACACTATTTTGTAAACATAATGATGTGATATATGTTATAACCACATAAATTCTATTATAACATTAAAAATTTATATGGTTGTAACATATACCATATTATGATGTAATAAAAATTATGTAAAAGAGTAATGTTATTAACATTCCTTTTTTTTTATTGTATTAATGTAAACGTAGAAGTGTTGAGAATTAGTGTTTAATTAATTTCTTTATAATAATAATACTTTATCCAAATACTTAACAGTTACTATCCTTAAACATTGGGTGTTGTTTTGTTTTACTTTTACTTTTGTCTCTCAGTATCTCACGCTTCAAACTCAAGCAAAGTGAGAGGTGGATGAGGTGGCGCTTTCAAACAGCGACCTCCCACGTGTGTTACGCGTTAGCCTCTTTGATCTCCACGGGTACACATACATAAGATAAAAGAATCAAACTCATCAAGTACACAGCACTAATATTATTGTACCTCACTATAAAAAATAAATAACTATTTTAATTTCTGATAATAATAAATAATAAAGAAAAGAAAATTATTTTACTCAAACTAGCCTTTGTCCATTTGTGGTGTTGATTTACATATATAGCGCTGCACTGCTATTGCTTTATTGTAAACTTCATAATTTGCAAGACTTGAAGTTCACTAGTTCAGGCTCTCTCTCTCTCTCTCTCTCTCTCTCTCTGTGCATCTCTTTCTCTCAATTTCCTCTTCAATCTTGAAGAATCTGCAGCCATATTTTTTAAATATAGTTTGCTAATAGATTGAGTTCATTGATCATCGAAGATGGGAAGGCAACCTTGCTGTGACAAAGTTGGGTTGAAGAAAGGGCCATGGACGGCTGAGGAAGACAAGAAGCTCATTAACTTCATTCTCACCAATGGCCAATGCTGCTGGAGAGCTGTTCCCAAGCTTGCAGGTTTCACTTTCATCAACTTTCTCGAGAAAAAAAAAAGAAAAAAGAACCATCTTCATCTTGATATTGATGGTGTTTCTTGAACCCATCAGGAAATTTTTACTGTTTTGATGATCTTTTTGTTCCATTTTAGGATGGTTCTTTATTTTCCTTTTCTCCTTTTTCTTTTTGGTTTCGGTTTTTGGAAAAGAGTGGGAACGAATGTTGGGTTAATGATGGAGAATATGAATGATTTTTGAAAAAGGAAGGCATGAACAAAAAAGCTGACCACTAAAATGATTTTCATTTTGTCAAAATAATTTAATCATAAAGCTGAGAATTACAATTTTTTAACTTTATTAATTAAGGTGGAAATAAGTTGACAAATAATTAAGGATATGATAATGGATATTGCAGGCCTATTGAGGTGTGGGAAGAGTTGCAGACTGAGATGGATAAACTATCTGAGGCCTGATCTGAAAAGAGGTCTTTTATCAGAATATGAAGAACAAATGGTGATTGATCTCCATGCTCAACTTGGCAACAGGTTTCCATCTTCTTCTTCTTCTTCAATTCCCCTTTTGATATTTTCTGGAAAATGGGTTCTTCTGTTTTCAACTTTATTTATGTCACTGTACTTGCTGAAGTAATTTTCTTCTCCATTACTGTTTAACTCTTTGGACCACCTCCAACTTAAAGTGTCAGCAACAAATAAATTATTATACAAAGATCATCCGCTCCAAGTTCCAATTTGCATTTTCATAATCAAAATTTCCAGTTAATAATTACAAGCATTTTCTATAATTAGACCGAGTCTTGAGTTGAGTCCCATGCACTTCCATTTGCCTTTTATAAAAGTTGTCAGTCTCAACCAGCCGCCTAGTTTTTTTAGCTGGTACTGATTATTTTTCCAAAATATACAGAAGGGCAAATTTGTCCTAGAGCTAGCCTTTTTGGCACCATTATTTTTATTTTTCTAACTTTGACAAACCTTTTTTTGACATGGACTTTTTTCTTGACTCATAATAACTTCATTAGTAAATTCTACTTTCAAATGTCATTAATGAACTAATCTTAATTAAGTTTTTTTAATTTACAGATGGTCCAAGATTGCTTCTCATTTACCTGGAAGAACTGATAATGAGATCAAGAACCATTGGAATACCCACATCAAGAAGAAACTAAGGAAAATGGGCATTGATCCACTCACTCACAAGCCTCTTGCAACAACAACCGATCAGCAACAACCCCAGAAACCGCAAATGGAAATTCAACAAGAAGTTCAAGAACAACCACAGCCACAAGAATGTTTACTGACCGAAATATTGGATATTGAAGATCATCAAAACAAGGAACCTGAAAAATCGCCACAATCATCAAACAGGGAAGGGAATAGATTAGAGGAAGAACACAAATTCGAAACGGTGGATAACATCATGAACAACAATAGTAGTTTTTGCACTGATGATGTTCCATTGATTGAACCCCACGAGATTATTGTGCCAAACTGTGTGCCATCGACTTCATCTTCATCATCTTCATCTAATTATTCATCTTCGGATCATTCATCAAATTTCTTGGAAGAATGGCAATTTCCTGCAGATTTTGAGTGGCCCAACATTAACATAGACTTATGGGACGATGACTTTAGCAGTTGGGATTTGCTCATCAATGATGACGTTGACAGGAAGGCGGCAACTTTTGTTGATCCTAATTCGTCTCTTACTCAGTTCCCAAGAATGGTTTTTGATCATCAAGATTCTTGGAAATATGGGCTCTTGTAACTTCGAATTTTCACGTGGTTAGGATTTTTCACAGAGATGAAAATAATAAATCAAAATATCCCGGAAAAAGTAAAACTCCGTTATCTTTTTACTTAGTTTCTTTTTTTCTTTTTTCTTTTTTTACTGTTTGGAGATAAAAGTTTTTTGTACATGATGAACGAAAGTATTATGGATTGTCTATTCAATACATGTTATGCCTCCATTTTTTATCTTCAATAAAGGGGATTTGTAAAGTAATTAATTATACCCCTTCATTACTTTTATATATATTTTTTCCTTCTTACTATTTTGTCTTTTAAATTGTTAATAGCATAAATGTTAAACCAAATGGATTATACTATAAACAGATTCAAAATTTACCCTATAATTTGATACTAATAAACTACTCATAATATATTCTTTTTGTTTTTTCTAGTAAATCAATCAACGGTTGACATGTAATTTTGACATTGTAAATATCTCAACATTAAAAGTATAAAATGAAAAGAAAATAATTAATTAGAATAGCTCTTTAAATAAAACTACCAACTTTTATTGAATTAAATTTTCATGATTCATGTTGTATGTATATTCAAAGTATGTCAAATATAGCATATTGGTAACAGAAGTCTAACTAATTCATCTCCAAGTAAGTGAAAGAGTTTGAACAAAAATTAAATTAAATTAAAAACAAAATTTAGACCATATAAAATATAATTGATTTGATGCCCATCACATATTACAGAATAATTAATCCTGTTAATAATAAAAAATTAGAAGGGTTTTCAAAGTTTAACTTCTGTATTATTGAAAAATAAACCAACTCTTTGACCTTTTACTCCTTTCTTTTCTATGTTCACACGAGTTATTACCTAAGAGATAAGAAATTTTAATTAATTAATTCAAATCGAATTTAATATTTCCGATGTCACGTATTAACCACTTCGTAAGAATACTCATGAATAGACAAAGTATAATATACATTTATTAAACCATAATTAGGTCAAAGTCAAAACTTGAAAGCTTGTCGTTTAATTTAATAATTAAATTAGTTTTTAGTTACATTACATATACGAATGACTTATCTTTACTTAGCCAGCATTACAAAGATTGCTTTGTCTTGCAAGCTAAAATCGTAGACATTGAGTTACAATGACATGGGTCCAACCGTATAAATATTATCGTATAAAAAATAATTATTTAAAATTTATTTCTTGCTATAATATTTAAACATCTAATCATGAGATTTGATTATAATTTCCTTCTGGCAATTAAATTACCTAAGCCAATTAATTAGCATGAACATATCTAAGGAATTATATATATATTATGACCAGGGGTGTCCAGGCTAATTTACGCACACCTTAACTAATCCCTAAGACTCTAAAACTACTGACTGAGTAAGAGCTCATATGGCTACCCCTATTAGAAATCGAGAAAGAACTTGAATTCAGGACCTCTTGAGTAATACACCCAAGAGTCCCTATTGAACCGTTCAACCACCCAAAGGTAGTTAAGGAATTTTATTGTTGATTCGAATTCTTCAAGAAGTGTAAAATTGAATGTTCCATTGCTCTAAAATTGTGCCAAACAAACTGATGGTGCTAATTTTTAGTTAAGAATAATTAGTATATAATGAACACTTACTTATTACTAAATTAATTTTTTTCTAAAAGAAATAATCAACACTATATGTAATATCTAAGTCGATTTTGATATATTATGAACTTTGATTATGAAGTATTTTAAACAAATCAAAGATATAATAAAGAATTTCTACGCAAGTATATATATGACATAATGAAACAAGAATGGTTCAAGAGTTTGACATGAACAAATGCAAAAATCAAAACGGTTAATGAATTAATTGGTTACATTCAGTTAATTCGAACCCTCAGTCAAACGCTTGCAATGAAATTGCTGAGGTAAATGCCATTGACTCCAAACCCCTATTAATATATTTTAATTTTGTTGACCCAGAAAAAAAAAATTTATTGTGTTCTTCAAGTCATATGATATTATTTGACAATTATTTTTTATTTTGTTAAATTTTTTCAAGGTTTTATAAAATATAATTAAAAATTATCAAGTAAGAAAATTTTGAAGTCTCAGCCTGTTATTCAAATAAAGGAAATTTGCCTAATATTAGAGCAAACTTTAATGATAAATCAATAAAAGTACACTGTCTTTCTAAAACAACTGATACATAAATAATTCCTATAAATGTTTTACACCTAAAAATTCCCCACGTGTTTATAATTTCTTTATTTAAAAAAATAAATAATAAATAATTTCTTGTTTTACTATATAAGAATATATAATAGGATTTAAAGTGAGAGCATGATCCCTTAATTTAGTTTGATGATTTTGATAAGATAAAGACGGAAGCAAATGACCGATGAAACGCGGTTACACAATCATTTAGAAAATTAAAGTAAACCATTGAAAAAATGAAATAATAAAAATAGAAAATTGGTGTATATATATTAGATAGAGCAATCATTCAAAGATAGTGAGTTTTTGAATTGAAAATCTGCCTGCATGTCCTTTTTTATGTAATATATATATTTTATATTTTATACAATGTGAAAACGAGAATGTGAATTGTTTTTGCCATGGTCGTTAGGATTAGGGCCACCCAATCTCCCTTTGTAATAAATTTCAACTTACTGCAATTTGCTTTCACACTCCATTTTTGGTTTTGGTTTTTTCACGTCTTCTCATCTCCACTAAAGTTTCTTGTCTTCTTTCTCAAGCAAAATTAATTACCATTTTAATTGAATTTCTCATCACTTTCATGCGTACAGTTTCAGGTAGACATCAGTCAGTAAGTAAAAAGTGAAATCATGAATGTTATTTCCCTTAATTTAATGGTTGAAATTTGAAGTCAAAAAATTCGGTGTTGCGTAATTAATTGGTGAACACAAGTTTAATGTAAGTTGTGGAGTGGGGGATTATTGCGGGGAAATGGAGCATATCCACCTCGTGTTTTGTTCTTTGCTTTTTTCGAAGTCTACAATACATTATCCAGAATCTTACTTTTATTTTGGGCCTTAAATGCTTGAGTTTAATATGTTTAACAATATCAATTTTTTTTTTTTTTGTTTTGTGTGTCCTAACCAGTTTTTAGTCAACTTAACTAAACTCTCAAGATCTTGAAGTTGATAATCAAATAAATCTCTTTAGTAATTACTTCTATTAAGGTCTATAAAAACTTGAACTTAACAACTCATAAAACATCTTTTTATTTTTTTATCATTAAATCACCTAGTAATGATTTAATAATATCATTATTAGTTAAAAAAACATTACATTTTCTACTATAATTGAATTTAATAAGAATTTATATATAATTATTTGGATAATAATAATAAATAAAGAAAATTATTATATTTTAAGTCAATAAAAAGAATGTCATAAATACAAAATTATCATCACTATTACCAATATTAATAATTTTTAAATTATAACTTATATTAAATAAATTATATGTTGGAAGTATATATAGTAATTTCACTAACTTGAATACTAGGTGATAAATAAGATTGAGAGCTTAGGAAGGGACGCGTGGGAGACCACTCCCTGTAGCGTAAAATTAAATACAAAATCAATTTGACTTTGGGCAAGTTAATTGTGGGTCCCCATCGGAGAAGGCATGTGGGAGGCTTTTCATCCAATCGCCGACAAACGCGTGGAACAGAAGACGCGGAGATAGAAAGAGACAGAATAACTGTGTTTAGTGCCAGACAGCTTAAAATACAAAACAAAGCAAAACAAAATCCAAGTTGACGACACATGTCGCTATCGTGTAAGTTCAGTCAACTTGAGTCAACCCAGTTCGAGATGTACTAAATGAGACCACACGGCAACGATTCCTGTATCGCATCCTCACGATAGCACATCAAAATCACATCATCTTTTTTTTTTTTTTTTTTTTTTTTTAATAACAGTTTATAATTCAAAGATGATTATTTTTCGCCTCACTATATTTGAAACAATTTTTTTATTAAATTTATAAAAATATTATTACATAAAATATATATTTTTAATTTTTTTATTAAATTAAAATATATGATTTATTTTTCTTACACTAGGGTGTTTTTGGTGTGCGAGATAAGTAATAAATTCATGTCTTAAACTTGTTTGTGTTTGATAATTACAAATAAGACATGAATTGAATTATAACATAATACGTATATTTGGGAATTATAAATCCCATTGCCACCCATAGGCCATAACATTGTGCAGTCTTATATATATATATTTATTTTTTTTTTTTTTTTATTTTTTTTTTTTTTTTTTTTCTATTCCCATTTTATTTTTGTTTATACTGTTTATATGTGTATAATAATATAAGCTAATTAATATATATCTTTCTTGAAAAAAGAAGTCGCTTAAACAAAACATAATATTATGATTTGGATTAACGTTAATGTTACAATTCTTTAGAATTTAATCACTTGCATGTAGTTTTTTTGTGCAATTTAAATTTATAAAAATATTATGTTTACAACTCAATCTCACAACTTTCTCTTACAACTTTAACGTGGTAACAGAGTTGACATTATTACATCAACTGAGAACATGAATGGTCGTTACTTAGAGGCGAACGATCATTCATTCATAAAAAATGATTGTTCCATTCATAAGAAATAATCATTCTTTATGAAGAAACAACCATTCGTCTCTAAAAAACGATCGTTCGTGTCTAGTTAAAATCATTTAATGTTTTAGATATAGTAAGAGCTGACGTGACAATTGTTAACTCGGTTGTTGTGTTGGGGTTTTAAGAGAAAGCTATGAGATTTGGTTGTAGATGTAGTATTACTTTTAAATTTAACGTTGCTAGAAATAATATAGTTTTGTTTTCACCAATACAAATTATAGTTATTAATTGGAGAATATAAAATTTAATTCCATCTTATCTAATAAAATCAATTCTAATATCCAATAATTCAATATATTCATCATCACTATCAAATCAAACTTAAATCATATGTTTAAAATTAATCAAAAAATCTTAATTTCTTTTAGAGCTTAATTAAACCCTAAATCATATGTCACCATGAACAAAACAAATACCATCTTTTACGTCAGCGTTACATGAATAACACAGAAGTCTAAGATATGATTACATGGCTTGAAGTCTTGAAATGATAGAAATTTTTACAAGAGGATTCATGAAAAGGTTTTAGGTTAGGTGAAAAGTACTTGTTAAAAAAT